CTCCCGGCGGAGATTGATCGGGACCTGTTCACGTTCTTCTGGAACTCCGTTGTTTCTGATGTGAAAGAACTTGCCTCCAATGCTCTGAGGAGAGGCCAAAGTCCATAGGTGTCCCACAAAGTCCCCAACGTCTGCTTGCTGGCTTTCATCAAAGTGGGACCACATGTCCCCAAGCTCTGGTATGTCCGTCAGCAAGCACGGAGTGGAGGAGGAAAGAAAGAACCTGAAGGCCTGATGAAGCCTTCCCCAAATCAGAGGTGGCTCGGATACAAAACTGCTAAGCCAGCTCCAACATCGAAACACCGCGTTGCTGCAGCAAAGGTTGCCCAAGTTTGATGATATGCTGGTGAGATTCTGGGCAATCAGGGCTGTGTTGGCCTGAATGTGTGGGTTGTCCCCTTGGAGGCCCAGTTGCCTGTGGACCAGGCGCTCAACCCTCTGTAGATCAGAAAGAAGCTGTTGCCCGTGATCTCGTGAGGGTTGCCTGGCATATGTCGTGCTCGACTGGAAGAGGTCTTGTTGACTGATGGTGAAGAGCTGCATTTGAGCCTCTTCAATGTTGGACATCTGTTCATAGTCAATATCCATAAGGAGCCGGGCTAGCGCTTGGGAGCAAGAGGTCCCGTGGATAGCAGCGTCACTGTGGACGCGGAGGTAGAGGAACTCGGTCCCTCAGCTCCTAGCGTTGCCGTTGGCAAAATTGCGCCCCCTTTGACTTTGAGAGCATCAGCGGACCTCCAAGGCCATAAGCCCCGGAATGGGCCCTGCCCGTGAAGCTTGAGCCCGAAAGTGCATGAGATTGCAATTCAGTGAAGTTGTCCAAAGCCCTGCAAATTGATTGAAAATCCCCAAGATCCATGTTAGTCCATGGAAAAACACCAAAGTGGTTCGTAGTGTGGATAGTTCCACCTTCATGCTGCAAAGCCCTCATTGGACTGTTACCCACAAGACTTGTCCTTGCCGTCCTCACCCGTCTTGCTGCATTTGGTGTCTTCCTCTGTGGAGGTGGGTGGCCGCTTGAGCATTGGGTGAGACTAACGCCAAGGGTGCTGATGAATCCAGCTACTGCTTCTTGTACGGGATCCTTCATGTCAGCGTCCTCCGAAAGCTGCACAGCGTCAGGCTGCTTGTGGAGTTCAGTTCCGTCTGTTCCTGTTCGAGCTTGGTCTGAATGAGCTTCATCTCATCAAGTAGCTCTTGAAGGCCTTCTTGGTGGCATCGATCTTGTTTTGAAGGTTCTGCTTCCTGTGGGAAAGGTCCCGAAGGGTGGACACCTGCTGCTTCAACTTGTTGGCAACATCTTTGCGCCAAGTTGTCACGTAGCACATCCTTCAAATCAAGCTCTGGGCTTGGGGGCGGAGGAGTGATGCCAATTTCAGTTAACTTCTGCTGAAGCCCTGGGTCAAGCTTGTCCCATGAAGAAACCAACAGTTCTCCTGTGTTCCACCTGTTGTGAGTTCAAGGTGCTGGAGACCTTGGTGCATAGCCATGAGGTGGCTTCGACCAAGCATTGCCACACAGTCGACATACACACCCTTCTCTGACTCTGTCTTGCCAGATTGAATTGTGACAGTTGGCCGCCTGACATACCTGGTAGGCTCGGCACCAGCTTGTCATGCTTGATGGAGTCATTGTACCTCTTGAGGGACCCCTCACTCGTCTCCTAGAGGCAGAGGTTGAGGCAGGGATGCCGTTGCACTCTACGAACAGGCCCTGTGAGGAGACAGTGGAATAGCCCCAATCAAGATCAGGATGTCCCGAGTGTAGGTCAAAGACCAGGAGGAAGAGTTGCCGTAGATCTGGTTCCCCGCGATCACGAGCAAAGTCCCTTACCCTGGATGAGCGCTGTGGCGGTGTGGCCCTGGATGAACTCAGTGCACACGTGGTGCTTTGGGGTGCCGCACCAGGTGGGCAAAATGGTTTGAGCCAGGTGTCTACGGAAGGTGTATGTATATGTATATATACTGTGTATATACATATATATATATATATATTTACTTTTTGGGGTTTGTCCTACTACCTGTAACAGTCGGCAAACAATTGCCACTATTTAAGAGGAAGGCCTTTACTAACCATCATCATCCACTGTTACTGGTATTAGGAGAGGCCAGATATATTACCGTATCGCGTTTATAAAGACTATATGCCCCTTATATATATATATATGTATAGATATAGCTTATATATATATTATATGTTGCACTTTGCTTCTTTTTTTTGGGGCTCTGCATTCCTGCAGCAGCCGGGTAGCTTTGCAGGCTGGACTGCAAGCAGAAGCTCTGAAGAATCCATATGCCTTCGAATTCATCAGAATTCACTGGGATGAACTCCCATGTACAGGCCCAGGCATTAGTTGGAAAATTTCTTTGTAGAGGGCAGATGGAAGCAGCAAGGTTCTCCGCATTATGTTTTTTCATTTGTTTTAGTTCTTTTTGCACTCCAGATGTCTCAAGATAGTGATCTCCCTATTCCCTATCTAAGCATTCCTCGGGGGAGGGCAGATGGGGCAGCTGAAGCTGAACCAAGAAACTTTTGCTTTTCGGTGCTTAAGAACCGGGTTGTCGTGCGTTCGGGCCCTTCAAACATCTCATCATGATCTCACCGAGTTGCGTCGCATCAAGGAGCTGGGGCAAAAACAACGTGCGCTGGAACAAAACCATCCCCATGGTCAAGCGTTCCATCCCCATGGTTCGCATGGTTTTTGAATTCCCTTGCTTCTTCTTGAGCCGGGGCTCCATGCTGGGGAGCCTTAATACGTGATTCTAGTTACTGTAACTTTTTGCAGGTACACGTTCCCTTTGAATATTTTGTACGTCGCAGCACTGCCGGCAGCGGTGGCCGGGCGCTATGCTTTGTGTCGCCGAACTTCCAGGGTGGCCCAAGAAGTCCTAGGGTTAAAAGCACCAAGTGAGAAACTTCCAAAACTTCTATGATGAAAAGTCCACAAACTGTAAACTCACATTATACCAACAAAAATTAATAGATAGCGGTTTTCGAAGCCGCTCAAGCGATTCGAACACAGTCATTTCTCATCCCTCATTGTTCTTCGTTGATGCCAGGGGCCGCCCCGAAGTCATAGGCGCGTGGTTAGGCATGGTTAGGCTTGATCGAGCACTGCTGAGGATGCTGAGGATGCTTGATCCGAGGGCTCAAGAGGTGGAGTTTGGCCCGGAAAAGGCCCAAATCGTTGGCAAACCGCCCGAGGTGGTTGAAACATGCTGAAACAGGTTTGACATGATATGGGATCAATATGAAGGTGACCACCAAAATTGGGAGTCTCAGTGGTCAAGCCCTAAGCGGATGTGTCAAAGCCGGGGGGCCACAAGTTCCGGCACACCTCCCTGATGCGCCAGTTCGCGGTTCAGGGAGGCATAAAGGAGACAGCAATGTTTGAAGCAAGTGTTGAGGGTGGCTCAAACATCAGGCATCCTGAAATGTCATGATCCTAGCCATTCTACGTGTGTTGGGTGTGGTTTGTTGCGTGCTCCACGTGTGGGCGCGCAGGAAGCCCGTGCGTTGAGGGTTTGTGAAGCGTAGTTGGTTTGAGCCATCCGAGCAGCTCGTTCCGAAGATGGCAGCAGTCCATCTTAGCAGATCCTGCTAAACAGGGGAGGCACCTCTTTGGTTGAGAGTGACGGTCGGAAGAGAGGTCCCTTATGGTAGTGGTACCCCCCTGCAGACTAAACATGGACCCTTCAAATGAACCTCTCCACCACTCAGTTTTCAAGGTCCATGTGGTCTCCAGGAGGGTTATTTTGACGCTTTGGTTCCCACAAGCAGCTGAAGGGTACTGCGCAAAACTTGTTCAATTAAGTGTGGGAACCAGTTGCACAAACTGTTTGAACGCAGCTGACCACAGATGCAACCAGTGTGGCGAACCCGTGGCCCATCTGTGAAGTCAGGCGTTTCAAAATGAGGGGGAGGTCGCGACCGTGTGAGATGTAGTTTCGCCATTTGCTTGGAGCAAGCTGTTCAACAGCAATGAGACCGCCATCGTGACTTCTGAAGAATTGTATTGGGCCCCCTCATTCTGATACATACCCATATGCCATATACAGAGGATGGAAAAAGGACCTGAGCTGATGGTTTCGGTTGTGGAGGGCAGGTCTACCGGGAAGGTGGCTATGTGATACTACACAAAGGTTTTCCTGATCTTCAGGAGGAGCGTATTAATTTCTTCAATTTCTTAAAAACAGGATGTATATGCACTATTTGACACATCTCCACCGCCAGAATGATCAGGAACTTTTTGGGGTTCAGGGGTTCAGCCAGCACATCTGAGAAAGGTGACGTTGGGGGCTTCAACAGGCAGCACAGTAACCATTTGTTTTTCTCGAAAGTAACGACAACCGCTTTATGATTCAGCCAGCTTTTGGGAGACTTGAACGGGCACGGTTTAATCAAAAGAACCCAACTTGATGGGGGATTTAACCTCTCAGGACTCTTGGTGTGATTTCCAGGTCGGGTATTTGGACAACCTGCCATATGCTTAGCACCAATTGTTTGACTCTTGTTGAATAGAACCCCCATATACAGAATTCGAAGTAAGAAATTGTAAGACCATTCTGGTAGTCAACATTAAGACCATTAAGGAATCATTGCCCAGACTCAGACACTCCAGGGTGGTTCAGAGGTGTTTGGTTTGGTAACTAATTCATACAGTGTTTGGGTTAGGATTTGCTCCCCGTTGAGGCATATCATGCCTGGTCGCCATTCGTTTCCTCATCCCCGGTCATTGCTTTGCGGATGAATGGACCGATATGGGTGACGTCGCTGAGCATGGCCCAGATCAATGGACCAATACTATGGACCAATATGGTGCTTTGTGGAAGCAGACCAATGCCCCAGAATTGTTGGACACTACCTCCATCAAATGGGTTGATTGTCCCAGACCCGGGCTCCACATTGAAAGAAAAAACACCGGACCAACTTGAACCGGAACACTTGGCATGGGCGATGCCGATTTCAATCGCCTCCGCAAAAACGGAGTCGACACCGAGGTCTTGACCGAGACCTTTGCACAGGGCCTGCCTGTTTGGCAGCATCAGAATGGGAAGCCATGACCCCCAGATTCGGGGGCGCTGGTTTAGTGGGGGGCCCATGAGCCGCCCGTCCATACCAGCTTGTAATTACTCGACCTGGCCTTGTACGCTTGCGCCATCGACTCAAAAGGGAGCAACCATTGGCTCCGGTAGACTCGATCAATCAAAGGCGAATTGGGGGAAATCAGGTTGACTTTGGGGAAAACCACATTAGACCGATCTGTAAAATAGACCGATCACACAATCAATTTTACTAGTCGATTTTGTGGAAATCAGGCGATTGTGCAAGTGTTTGTGATTTTGCTAGTATTCATTCACCCATCGACCGCAGAGCAGTATGAGGGGGCAGATGGCGCAACACTCTTTTTTAGATGGGCAAGAGTGCATAGCATGTGTCGTGGATGCTCCTCTTGCCTTGCGGCCCTTTCTTTCTTCGTTGCCAGGGCTGGGACCAACAGGACTGCAGTGCAAGTTCCAGGGAAAGGACATGCGAAAAGGAAAAGGAAAGCCGCGTAGGTGGCGCAACCCCATCAACAGCACTTGCGACCAAACATAGTCCGTTTCTTTTTGTTCCTCTTCCCCTTTCCCTTTTCCATCCTTTTCCCTTTTCCTTTCCCTTCCTTGCCCTCAACCTTGCAATGCTGTCCTGCACACTGGCAGTGGCAAGATGAGGCCGCAAGGCATTGAGCACCCACGATCGACCCAAGATATTATGCAGCAAGACACTCCCAGCCCTCTATACATGTTGCGCCATCTGCTCCTTGCATTGCTGCCCTTTCCTTTTCCGTTTTTCCTTTTCCTTTTCCAATTTCTTTGTATTTGTCCTTTCCTTTTTCTTTGTCCCTAGCAGAAAAGCAAAAGATATGAGTTCACTCACCATTTTGAGCCAATAGATGGCGCAATGTTTCAAGACCTCGTGAGTCCAGCATCCATAATCGCAATTTTGGGGAGTGGTCTGAATTTGACGTTTGGGTAGGGTAGATGGCGCTCTACAAAACATGTGGGAACCTAAATTCTCTCTACTAGCGGTAAAGGAGGTACTCAACCACCCCCCAAAGATGGAAATGAAAATGACACTCAAATGTGTCACACGGGGGGCGAGTTGATATCACATTGCATGGGACTGTAATATTTGCCCTGCAAGCGCGGTGGTCCACCTGCATACGAAAAAGGTCGAAAAAGGTACTTATATTGTGTTTGTGTCCTAAACTTTCACGAGTACGAGAGTACGTCTTGAGATTATATATAGACTCATATAGACATTCTGTTTCATGGGGCCCCAATGTGTTAAAAACTTGTAAAAGACGGTTCCCGGCTGGTGGCATAGTGTCCAATGTTCCAACGGTCAATGTCCAATGTTTCAACGGTCACTTTTTACCTATTCCATCTCTGGAGTTTTGGGTCTTGCACCAAGAGTGGGCATTGCAGGAGCCCACCGTGCTCACTCCCAGGCCCGGTCGCAAAACATCTCGAAACATGTGGCGAGAGTAGATCGTGGGCTCACTGCAGTGATAGGCTCATGAAGCTCAGAGTTCTTTTGGGGACACAAAACATCCGTATATCAACGGCCCAGATCACCGACCCATCACCTTCCAACCCTTCCCACCCGCCAACAGCGGCGCCCTTCCCGCTGACCCCGCAGCCGACCCACGTCCGACGTGGCGGCCGGGCCGAGGTGCTACCTCTACTGCGGCGTCAACGGTGCGCTGGACAGCGAGACATCGAAGGGAAAGGACAGCGGGACAGGCGGACCATGACAGGTCTGGTCTTCCGGGGGGCAGGTCCGGTCTTCGATGCGGCGACACGACGATCCGAAGAACAGAACGAATACATCACCCCACTTGGCCCGAGATGACCCACAGATTCATGGTCCATGTTGGTGAAAACATGTGAAAACCAGATGAATCTGCATGATAATATAATACATAATCATTGGCCAGGTGTTTTTCATTGTGTTTCATAGGTTTTGTCAAACATGAGTCGTGGATGTCGTGGGCCTCCATTTCGGTCATCGATTTCGGCCTGTGCCGAAGATTTGGACACCCCAGGTGGTCTACACAGCATTGGGTTGATCGGTGGCTCAGGGAACCTCAGGAAGGCACCATGAGAATCCAGCAGTTGTACGACACCAGCAGTTCCATGGAGGACAGGGTGCCGGAGAAACGAACGGAGGATAGGAAGGAGTTGGTTGCCCCGTCGTCGCATCCACGGCAACTGGATGGGACCCAACAAAAACACACCCAACGACTCCTCGAAGGATGTGTTTGCATGTTTGTGTGTTTCCATAGCTTGACCCCAAAGCTATACAGGCTATACGGTTATACGTATTTGGACCTTTCAAGGGGTTGCCCCGTGGAGATCCATAATACTGTAAGTCCTAAGTCTTGTGAGGGCTTCGATTGGTGACCCACCCCTTGGACGATGCTCTTTGCTTGCGTGTTCGACGCTTGCAGCAGATGGCGTTCGACGCGGATGAGGTCGAGTCGCTGGGTGTCTAACCCGTCCAAATTCCGGGCCCAGCGGCTTCGTCATCCCGCTCGAGGCTCATGGATCCTGGGCGGCTCTGATGCCAAGGAGAAGGACTTCAAATGCGCCAAAGGCCGGTGAACGGTGGACGGCGCGGACGATGCATGAGGTTTGGGGCCACAGATCCAGACTTCGAGGTTGACGACGTGGAAGTAGCAGCAGCTGCCCCACTTTTCACAAGCAATTGCTTTCCCATGTGAACGTGAGCTTGAGTGGAGATACAGTACATGCACGTTGAACATTGATTTACCATGGACATCCCTTTGACTTGGCGTCCACGCCTGCTCATTTTGAGCTCGTGCCGTGTCTTTCGGTGTAGTGCCCATCATAAGACAGGCGACGTCAGCGTGCAAACATGCATCGACATCACCGGTCATGTCATAGCTGGTTCCTGGCACCAGGGACATGCATCATCCAAACTCAAACCATATCCCAAAGAAACCACGGCCTGTCAATGTCCCAACATGTCATCCATGGCCAGTCCAACTAGTTAACCATTCTGGCACTGTGACTCATCCCTTCCACAAAGTCCGGGAGTTTGCCAGGGCCTGCTCTGTCAAAATTGATTTGTGTCGAACATTGACAAAACCCGTCCTTCTCCCGAAAAACCAGGACCCTTTATTGAAAACGTGATTCTTCGCTTGTATAAAGTTTCAACCACAAAGAGACCAACAAACAACAGCGCGACGACTGCGAACATGCCGGTAGGTCATGCGTCATGCGTCAAGCACTAACTAATAATCAATACTTCATCCAATGGGTGTCCAATAGATTACCCTACCCTACTTACAGGTCTCCAGACAGGGCACCCGTTGGAAGTGCTAGGTAACAAAAGGCTTCGAAAAGGTGTTAGTGAAACGTGCCCTGCGGTTGCGCCCTGCAACCTCGGTTGGAACGTCCCGCATGCGTTGGTCTGGCGTTTTCGGCGCGGTGTGCATCGTGTAAATGAGGTGTGTCGCATTTTTTTGAGCGGCACAGTGGATGGTGATGCTAGTGATAGTGGGTGGTATCTAATTGAAAACAAATCAAACTGCAAAAATCGAAAATGGGCATTCTTGAAGTAGAGAAGAAAGGAAAAGCCAATGGGGGTGTCCGACATCAGTTCTTAAGAAAGGTCTTCGAGACTATACAACTGTGAGCAATAGCTGTGGGTGAGCACGGTGAGAACTGGCGAAACTGACGGTTTCACTGTTGATCAGTCACGTGGTTGTTTGGAGTAAAAGTATGTAAAAGTGATTTCTTTCACAATCCTCCAAAAGCGGCACGGGCAACTGGCCTACCTTGGCGTCGGGTCTACTCTTTTGGCCTTATGTTTCCCGGCCGTATGTAAGCATCTCCAGGATGGAGAGACTGGTTTGCGCTGGTGTGAGGTGTGATCTACTCCAAGCGGACAAGTGGTGGACTGATGCCGGAGAAGGCTTTTTTTACGCGAGAGCATGCGCGAGCGCCCCACCCCACTCAAGCCTGTGTTCCACGTTTCTTTAGAGCCAATACACCGTTTAGTTGGTGGAACATTTACACTATTTTTAGCTATTTTTTGTCCATCAGTCCAGACATGTTTCTAGTGATCCTGGGTGGAGAGACCCTTGGCCGCGGAGTTCGGGCGAGAACTGATGAGATTTCCAAGCTGCAGACTATCCACCAGCACCACGGAAAGAGTGGTTTATGGACCCCTGACTATGTATTTCCATCCAATAACCACCCCTTCCCGCGTTTTCTTTGAATTTGATGGACTTGGCCTTTGAGCGGCTGCGGCCAGATGTGCAGGTGGGCGGTGTTTGGCTACGCTTGGGTGGCGACCAATTCCAAGAAGATAGCGTCCCTCGGCATGAAACGCCTACCCGAAGTGTTCACGAACGTGTAGCCAGCGTGAGGAGAAACCAATAAAGCAGACACATGCAAGCAAGAGTTGCACCGGCGAACTCGGCGGAAGAGGCCGAGGTTTCAATATGTTCATATTTTCAATGACTGCATGTATATATAAAGGTATTTTTATCATATATTTTTCTTGGTGTGTGAGCTCAATCGAACTTCAAGACTTGTGAGATGCTTTAGGTTGATTTTCACGTGCCCACATGAGTGAGAACGTATGAACACGGTTGAAAACATTCGTTTTTGTGGAGACACTTCTGTTTGTTAGTCTATATTTGTTTCGGGCCCGTTTGAATTTTCAAGAAGAAACTCCACCATACTCACTGAACCAACTCAATTTCTTAGCCTAGGCCTCGGTCCGCCGTTGAGATGACACGTCCATCACTGTACCGTTCACTCACGACTGTTCATCGGCATGGTCGACCAGACAGGACATCGCTGTCACGATCAAGCCTCAGCGGCTCTATGTGCAGACTCCAAACGGTCAACACAGGCAGGGTCAGGACATTGACCTTTCCCTTGTTGTGTAGCATGTTCATGATCCTTTGCTATGTGTTTTCTTTAGGAGACCCAGCTAGCCAGCTAGATCCCAGAAGATAGCACTCCTTTGCTGGTGCCTTTTTTTGTCTTCCCCCAAGCCGTGACAATACAATCAAAAGGGGCACCAACGAACCACATGCACTTCAACATGTATATTCCTTTTTGCTTGGGAGTTTGCTTTGGGTGTGTAGCTGTTCTTCTTTGTTGATGATAACTCCGACGAACTCAGGCCAACTGCTGTTCCATCATGTTTGCTATCAGCAGCAGCAAGCCACACAAAACAATTACAGGCACACACACAAAGAAAGTACAGTAAATAGGAAAGGAAAAAGGACACACAAACACACACAGCCAATGTGATTGTTACATATTGCAACAAATTGCGCCCCAAAATTGTGCATTCACAAAATGTTACAAAAGCATGCAAAGCAAAGCCTCCATCATCATGCATCTACAACTGCCCAAACCAGAAGATCATCAGGGGGGCGTCAAAAAATGTAAACATCCCTCCGGACCCCAAAATGTAACGTACATGTTTGAGGTCATTACACAGTATATGACCCCTGGGGCCTGAAAAAATAAGTTACATTATTTTAGGCTATCTCAATAAATGTACATGTTTCAGGTCCTCCGCATAGGAAAATGTAACTTACATTTTTTGACTCCCCCCTCAGGAGGGTAGGGATATTGTAACTATATGTGTCACAATGCCAGCCTTCAAACCATAAAGTGCACCGTCGCCCTTATCCCACGGAAACCACGATCTACCACGGAGACGTTTTTCGGGAAGTCCGTCGTTGCAGGTGCGCTGGGGAGTACGTGCCGTTGGCGGATCGCATGGCCAATGGCTACCCCTTGTGGGAGCACGCCACCGTGGGCCGATGCTGGCTCTACTCAGGCGAGGTGAGCGAGGCACAGAGGCACTTCAAAGGCTGCCAATTCGGTTGGAACATGACGGTGGGTCGTTGACCTTCTTGGTGTTCTACAACTAGCTGCCCTAGCTACATCCTAGGACAATTAGGGACCCATAATGACAAATATATATATATATATGACGAATTATATCGTTTGGATTGTTATTTTATTGATCTTTATTGTATTGTTTTATCATATTGTTCTTTGACAGGCGAAGCTGCTGCTTTCACTGAGCTTTTGACTGTCTGGAATCCACCCGTGCAGTGCAGACAGGAATGAGACCCAGCTGCTTCCACCAATTCCTTCTTATAGTCAGTCGTATGGACCAGAAAATGATAGAAACTGCACAGTACCTGCTAAAATTTGTTTTAAAGTTCCTGCCTCAACTGACTCAACATCATTTGTGTGGAAGAATTTCTCAATCCTCAACATCAATCTGAGAATCAAGCATCATTCTCAATCACTGGTGATTCTCCCTCCATTCGAACATCGAACCCGTCTGAGAGCCGTGGAACCACGGCAGGCAGCAACGGCATGTGGATCATCGGAGGCACCGATGCTGCAGCGAAGAACTTCGTGTGCACACGCGGGGCCAGGCGACCGAGAGAAGGGTCGCGAGGTCCGGTCCCCGCGGAGAAAGGCGCAGACACGACGAGTATAATGGGACTGCCGGACTGCCGAGAAACGGCCAGGGGTGGGTGGGTGCGGGGGTGAATGTATGGAGATGTATGGCAGTCCCATGGAGTGTTTGGGTTTGGTTTCTTTTTCGGGAACCTTTTTTGGCACGTCGCGATTTCGGGACACGAGTGGGGAAGACCTGGTACTTCGCGGTTTGCGGGGCCGGGCACGTGCACTGCAGAACTTGAGTCTTTCAGATGTTTCACTGTCGTTGATTGCCCATCAAGGGATGCCGAGGAGGCCGGAGGATTGAATTGTGTTTTTTGGGTGACCGGTGACCCTTGGTTTTCTATCCCAACATGTCGAGACAATACAGATTGACTACACAGATGATCCCGATCTTCTCTGACATTTCAACCTAACCAATTGAGATACATGCCATGGTGAAGATGGGCGAATCCTGGTTTCGAGGATGACGGAACACACACACATATATATATAATATATATATATGATCGAGGGTCCTTTAGGTATCATTTCGTAAAAACAAACAAACACAACTGATTTAATGTTCAATTCAAATATTTATTGCAAACAACATTTGTAAATTAAAAATTTGATGGATTTTGATGTTGCTTTTTAATTCTATTTACTTTGTTTATTTACAAAAGGCTTTTGTAAATAGAAATCTAAATAGATTTTGATTTATATTATTAGTTTTTTTATTTATTTATTTAATTTTTTAAAATTGTAAATTAAGTATATTTAGAAATTAATAGATTTCTTTTTGTTTGTGGATTTGGCTATTTTAAACAATTAAACAAATAAATTAACTAAATAAATTAAATCGACGTGTATTTTTTTGATTTATTTTTTTAATTCTATCTTTTTTTTGAATTTATTCAATTTTTTAGATTGTAAATTAAATATATTAAAAATCAATAGATTTCTTTTTGTTTGTGGATTTGGCTATTTAAAGAATTACGACAAAAACAATAAATAAATATATTAATTAAATCGACGTGTATTTTATGTCTTAATATATTTATTTTTGTTTAATTTACAAAAGGCTTCTATAAATGAACAAATAAATAGTTTTTGATTTATTTTATTGCTGTTTTTTGTTTTTTAAATTTTAGAAAAGGCTTTTGTAAATTAAAAAATAGATAGATTTTGATGTATTTTGTTTGCTTTTTGTTAATTTTTTTAATTTGCAAAAGGCATTTGTAAATTAAATAAATAAATCGATTTTGATTTATTTGTTTATTTGTATTTATTTTGTTTAATTTAGTGAAATTTTTGAGTAGCCGGATGCCACTGAGTCACTCTATTAAATAGAAGTGTATTGTTCACTTTTTTTAATTTACAAAAGGCTTTTTTGTAAATTAACAAATAGATAGATTTTGGTTTATTATTTATTGTTATTTAATATTTTTTAATTTACAAAAGGCATTTGTAAATTAAAACATAGAAAGACTTTGATTTATTTTTATGTTTATTTATGTTTTTTAATTTGCAAAAGGCATTTGTAAATTAAAACAATAAATCAATTTTGATTTATTTTCTTAATCTTATTTATTTATTTTTTAAGTACATTTAAGTTTTTAAATAGCCGGATGCCACTGAGTCACTCTATTAAATAGAATTGTATTGTTTTTTGTAAATTAAAGGCATTTGTAAATTTAAATAAATATATATATATAGTTTTTTTTAAAGGAAATTATATATATTTTTAATTTACAAAAGGTTTTTGTACGTTAATTTTTCTTTTTTTTTAAACAATTTATGATTTGGATTTTTTTTACTTTTAAAATAGCCGGAGGCCATTGAGTGACTCTATTAAATAGAATTGTATTTTTAAAATTGCTAAAAAATACAAAAGGCATTTGTAAATTCGAAAAATTAATGTAAATTAAAAAATAAATATGTTTCTTTTTACTTTATTTCTTTTTCTAAATAGTAGCCGGAGGCCACTGAGTCACTCTATTAAATAGAATTGTATTTATTGTTTTTACTTTGCAAAAAGCATTTGTAAATTAAATATTCTAAAAGAACATCAGTTTACCACATGGAATTGTATTATTGTTTTGTATTTGTTTAAACCTTTTTGTGAAAAAGGTTTTATGTCCAATATAGCTCTATTACTGTATAAGTGCAGAAATCAGTAGTTTTCACAAGACCCTCGATCAAATAGATGTTGCCTGACGTAGTTGTGGGGGAGTTTCGGGCCAAACACAACAGTTAAAAATGCGATTTCAATATATACGTTTCTATGGATCACATGAATGATTGGAAGGATCTGTCCAGAAACACATGAAACACAAAATTAAGAGCAGTTGGGAATCAATCAACCAGCAACAGTGAATGTTGTTTTTCTGCTGCTTCACGGGTGTGCAGAAACTGAAGCTGGATCCGGGCTTTAAAACGTAGAGTCTGTGAAATATCCTGAAATATCCGGAGATTGCTTCAACAGCATGCAGCATGCCTGGCAATGGAAGAATGATATTGAATGTGACAAGACTACTAGCTGGGTTGGTGCCTCTACTGGTTTTGAAACAAGCAAAGAATATGTGATTCTGTAATCCTATTGAGCGAGTCCAATATTCCCTTCGTTTTCAGATATGTTCAGTGATGTTGTGTAATCAAAAGGCTCATTCTTGATACGTTCAAGTCATGTCTGTGGACCATGGACGGACCGGTGACGTCAGAGGAGGTCTCTTGCAAACAAGACTCCTGTTTCGTTCGTCGATACCGTAGCCATTTACAGATTTTGCATTTTTCTTTGCATTCTTGCCACTTCGCTTGCATTGCAGTATGGCCAAGACGAGGACCGGAGGGCCAAATGTGTTAACACTTTCAGTTGTTCCAAAAGATACAGGACTCGCTTGCTTGCTGGCCTCCTGGCTGGCTTGCTTGCTTGTCAGCTTGCTAATTTGTCTTTAGCTTGTCTCTTGCTTGCTGGCTTGCTTGCTTGCTTGCTGGCCCCCTGGCTGGCTTGCTTGCTTGTCGGCTTGCTTGCTGCCTTGCTTGCTTGCCTGCTTGCTTGCTGGCTTGCTTGCTTGCTTGCTGGCCTCCTGGCTGTCTTGCTTGCTTGTCGGCTTGCTTGCTGCCATGCTTACTTGCTTGCCTGCTTGCCTGCTGGCTTGCTGGCTGGCTGGCTGGCTGGCTTGCTTGCTTGCTTGCTTGTCGGCTTGCCTGCTTGCTTGCTGGCTTGCTTGCTGGCTAGCTTGCTTGCTTACTTGATTGCTTGCTTGCTTGCTTGCTGGCTGCCTTGCTAGCTTGCTTGCTGGCTGGCTGGCTTGCTTGCTTGATTGCTTGCCTGCTTGCTGGCTGCTTTGCTAGCTTGCTAGCTTGCTGGCTGGCTTGCTGGCTGGCTTGCTTGCTTGCTGGCTGGCTGGCTGGCTGGCTTGCCTGCTGGCTGGCTTGCTTGCTTGCCTGCTTGCTGGCTGGCTTGCTTGCTTGCTGGCTGGCTTGCTTGCTGGCTAGCTTGCCTGCTTGCTGGCTGGCTTGCTTGCCTGCCTGCTTGCTGGCTGGCTTGCTTGCTTGCTTGCTATGCCTTTCTCTTTGCTGTTTTGTTTCCATCTTTTTGGCACTTGCGTCCTTGCTTGCGGTCCTTGATTGCTTGTGTGGCTTTCCTGGCTGGCTTTACTGGTTGAAGGTGTGCATGTCGGTGAAGGGCCAAGCGCATTATAGAGCCGCTGCAGAGGTACGAAATTCGGCATGCTTCAACGATGATTCTTTGCGAAGAGTGTTGACAATCGCCGATGTGCTGAAATTGAAGTTTTCGACCGCAGCTCTGCATCAAGTGAGGTATGTTTCTACTACTCTCCATCTTTGAAGCTTTTCCAAGAGTTGCACTCTGCATGTCCAAACCTGATTGGACTTTGCTTGGACCCAGTTCACCTTGCCATTGTGTATGAGTATGCTCAGTGGGGAAAACGTTCTGCTGGGTCAAAGATGTTGCGGGCCGCGCTCGACAGGATCAATCATATCGACAGCGTGGCCCGCCCAGAGTCTTGGGGTCCTTTTTTCTGTGGCGTCTCTCCTCCAAGCCTTTCCCGCGAGGAGGAGAGAGCGCAAGAAGCCATCCTGCATCCGAAGAATCTGGGGATGACAAGGGCTCGGAACATTATTTGACGCCATCGACAGTGCATCGCCCATGTACTGTCGGATTACGTTCATCGAAAGTGTTGCTGCGATTTGCAAGGTGCATCAAGACGAGGTTGTTCGCAAAGTCACTGGCAGCAACACAGAGCTGAAGAAAGTTTTGTGGGCTGCTTGTGCGCCGGAGCGCTTAGAGTGGCTTTTCAACGGCGCTCGTCTCCGACATGCTCTGACACCAAGGGACCGAGCGCTTTTGCCCAGTGGCACAGCATCCAACGAGACCCTCCATGCTCAGATTAACTCTTGGACGCGGTCCATTCGCAGCTTACATCAGAGCACTCTTGCGCTTGAAGCTGGACATTATGCATTTTGGAAAAACGCTTTCCCATCATGTGGCCACTTGCTTTCCAACCGTGCGACAGACTGAAGAGTGCGTACTGTTGTCGAGAACTCTCTGCGCAAGCATCTGGGGCGATGAAACATGGGCGGAGTTCTGTCAAGGCAAAACCAAAGCCACATTGCCATTGCATTCTAGCAGAAAAGGCGAAGCCCTGAAGGTCAAGCGTTGGGTAGAGAAGCGGCCAGCGACAAAGATGCCCAAGGCAAAGCCGAAGAAGAGGAATGTCCTCACAGTTGCAAGGCGGCGCTCCATAAAGTCTGGTGGCAGAAGGCCAAAAAGCCAAAGACCTTGAAAGGATTGAAAAAAGAGCCTGTTCATGTTGAAAGCACGCTGCATATTAGTATATGATTGTGTCACAGCTCTGTTCTGACTGTTGTTGTGCGAACGTGCTGCATGGAGCAGATCCATGTCGTCAAGTATAAATCATCGAGTTGCCACAGTAGAGCTCCAGAAATGAATGTCTGTATGTATGTATGTCTATCTACAGAAGGTGGGTGCTTGTGTGTGGGATTCAAGTCAGACTGAAAGTGTGTTGCGCGAGACTGCGCATGTACGCTTTGCACGCTTAGATTAGTCAGTCACACTTGACGCTACGACAATGCCAAACTTATGCCAAGACATATCTCAGAGCACATCCCAGACTGCATGCCGGAACATATGTCGGAACGCGCGCTATAGGGTGGCTGGTAGAACAAATGTCAAAGCTGACGCTAGGAAGTCCTAAGTCACAGTGCTCGCCGCAGCGTAGGATCGTAGTTATAGTTTGCTTTATACATATAACTTTCTTGAAGTATATAAGTTTAGGTGTTTGTTTGTTGTGTTTCTGTGATAGTTTTTGCATCGACGAAACGCATCGCATCTGATCTCAGGAAGGGACCCAAACGTTTTGTATTGGCACTGTAGCGTGACCGGCCTGCAGCTTGGCACTGTTGAAGTATATTTTTTGCTTGGTCGGTCACCCCTTCGGCAACGGTTCTTGGGTTCTTGGACACTTGACAACAATACTTCTCCACCAGTGTAAGTTTCAAATATGTTTTTGGTCTATAACCAAAGCAGTTAAGGTTTTTACCGGCATAGATATCATTGAGCTGAGTGATGCATCCGATGGATCGGTGCAATTGGCACCATTCAGGGTGAGAAAAGGTCGCTGTCCAGGATGTGTGCAGCTGGGAAGGTTCGTCAGGGGATCCGGGCGGAGATTGATTTGGTCTCCGATAAACATTGGCCAAAAATGCTTGCCCTGACTCCCGAAGAGCGGCAGTGGATAGTCAAGGTACACAAGAACATGGGACACCCCGGCACTCAAAAGCTTCGTTTTGCCAACAAGTCCAATGTCCACCGCATATTGTTGATGCAATTGAAGATTTGAGATGTTCCACATGTCTTGAGGCCAAAGCACCTGAGATTGCAAAACCCAGTGCTATCCACCCTCAAGTGGACTTTGGAGATTGTGTGAGCATGGATGGGATCAAATGGACAAATCAAAACGGGAAACGGTTCTTCTTCTACCACTTCGTTGATCAAAGCACGACATATCATCTACCACGCGCGAAATGAACCCCAAAGGTCCCTACCTCGTATGTATATATATATATATATATGTGCACCCATATGGATACCAAGACAAAGAGACGGACCGATATATATATATATATATGTATATTTACCTGTATAGTTATATATAAATATAAACTCCAGGAGTCACATGGAGTTGGGTGTGTTTTTCTCGGGTCCCATCCAGAACCCGTGGATGTGACGACGGGGCATCCAACTCCTATCCTCCGTTTCTCCGGCACCCTGTCTTCCATGGAACTGCTGGTGTCGTGTCTCATCGGCTGCAATTCGCATGGTGCCTTCCTGAGGTTCCCTGAGCCACCGATCAACCCAATGCTGTGTAGATCACCTGGGGTGTCCAAATCAGGGCTTTTGGACCAGCAACGCAGGGCTTTTGGACCAGCCGACCAGCCGTGTGGGTCGTTGGGTCACGGGGTTCTTCGACTGCAGAGGATGGTGGTCACCCATGCAGCCAAAATCGGCCCTTGATTCCAGGAGGCCCTGCCCAGGGTGTGGTGGCTACCGGGGTGTCCATTCACCCTCCTTCCAAGGGCTCTAAGCACCACTCCTTGGGTTGTTTAGGTGGTATGTGGAGGTGCTACAGTGGTTTCAGAGTAGATGGGACAACCAGGATCACTTGTTGATAGGGGTCCACATAAACACACACACACACATATATATATATATACCACCATTAAACCACCTATTTCATCTACTGTGCCATCTACTCTCAATCCACGAGATTTCCCCCCATGCCGCATGTGTCCAGCTTTCAGGTCATCTACTGCCAGGCGGTTCATCATGGTCAGTCCAGGGGCCCAAGGAATGCTGGTGGTCGTCTCGCATTGTACCTGGTTGTACCGCCAGAGAGAGAAGACGTGGGCAGGTGTTTGGGGCAACCCACGTGTGGTGAGACATTCAATGCCATCCCGTCCCTTCTTGAGCTGTAATAGTCAGTATGTCAGTTTTAGATTCAGTCATCCATAATTAGTTCTATGCAGCTATGCCAACGTATTGCCAAAGACCACACACTTTTGGATCGACGATTGCCATCAATTTTGTGGATTGGATCTGAATATTGAACTGCGCGTGAATCTTGCCCGGCTTGTCTCGGATCACGTGAATCTCTCCCAGACCATCCGTAGGTATAGTTACTGTACATACATTTACCCCCCATTTATGACCTTAACGATTCAATGATTCCTTGATGTATATAACTATTCCATACATTGAATGGTCCGAACCTGGTCACTAGATACGATCCCAGCGTTCCGGGAAACAACACCAGTTCTTCTTAGGATGCCTGACAAGATGGTGGGGAACTGGCTGCGCTTGGATGGTGAGAAGTTCAGAGAGGACTCGAAACATGTTCCCGAAGCTGCCGAGAGATGGCTGTCAGAAGAACCCAAGTAAGAACCCATTGGTCTTGCTTACGGGGTATATTTTTCCTATGGTAGAACATGGTAGAAGCTTCTTCTGGGGAAAGCTTGCTATATGGGACTCCCGGTTCCGTAAGCAAATCCAAGACCACCAGTTGCGACATTGTGATGACCCACAGACTGAGTGGATTAGAAAGCCCCTGTGATGACCTCTTAGAGCAGCCACTCCTGCAGTTCTGTGCCTGCTTGCTGAAGGATTTGAAAGCATCAAGTGCAGGTACTTCAAATTGGCCTTCTACATCCCTTTACGATCGGTTGCTTGAGTAATAGGGGGGGTATCCTTACAATTCCCAAAAAGCAAATCACCACATATCACCACTTCAAATGTCTTTCGTCAAACCGAACGGTGATTTCTCGGATTACATGACCACTCCGGTGTGGAGGATCGGTCTTCTCCTTGGGAGCGGAACCAAACGCACCGGGAACCCCCGAGGGCAGATGCGATGTTGGGGACTGGCTGTCCATCCTGCCTCCGGATCGGTGGAGGTAGTTGATAAAGGGGTCAAATAGGTGAAAAATCCAAAGTGCTGCAGACTTATGATGAATAAACCCCCATTTGGATACACGAACTTGCGGACTGTCTGAGTCGACGTGCGCTCCCACCTTCTCCCTTCCTAGGAGTTCGAGGGGGTTGAAGTGGGTGTGAACCAACAAGGCCAGTCAAGGCGGAAACTATGTACACCAATCTACGAAGCTAAAGGCAAAGGGCAAACGGCAAACAAGCAAGCGAGAATCATCCATGATCTGACCGTCGGTGGTCTAAAACATGCCCAGCTCCAAGAAACAGTCCTATGCGTACATTAATCACCAATGGACCTAATGCTCGCAAATTGAATCATGTGCTAATTACGAATTCACAGGTTTACGTAACTAACTAGTGCCAGGATGGTGGACATCGTCCAAGTTCTTTTTCGAAACATGATGCACCGAATGTGCATGTTTTGGATTGAATGACCTCTTCTTCGAACACAACAAACACGTAATGGACTGTTTGTGGGGCGGGGGGGGGTTGGGGAATGAAAAACAAGGTCCCGAACGGTGTCGCTGTCGGGACTCCTCATGAGATGGGGCTTGGAGGCATGGTTGCCGAGCGTCGTTTGGTCCCCAGGATGCAGCCATTATGGTTAGCACGGAGCCGCCTTCGCTGCACATCCTGTCCCCAAATGGGCAGCATAGGCGTGGCCGGCGTGGACCAGTGGGAACACTTGCCCGGATGACCAGGTGGAGGGAATAGCCCTGTGGATGACAGATATCAATGATTGAATTCTGAGAGATTTCAGGATCGGCAGATCAACCGTCCACAGGACATACAACGAAACTCCTATTGTTGTGTATGCTGGTGTATGCTCGATGTTTGGACTATACCTTCATAAGTGTGGAACCTCCCCAGAAGAAAAGAAACACCAATAAAACGCATCCTTGTTTGTCCAATCTATGCCATATATCTTCAAGGCTACATGGCATGTGGAAAATGCACGAATGGATGCAGAAGGCCCAGGACGTCCATGGAAACTCGATCCAGAGAGTCCTGACATGTCCTGACCCCAATGCAATACTGAGTTGAGGATCCATAGCAGTTCGTCCAAGTGTGGCCTGAGTGTGTTGTCATTGGGTAGACGTCCACAAATGAACTTGGAGTTGCGCCATGTACTTTGAACGGTATATATATATATAGTTTCGTAAACCATGGATTCCTTGGGGGGCATCCACCCAGGAGAAAGAATCAACGAGGCAAGGCAACACATGGGGTAACCAGGCCTCCTGAGGGGTACCTTGTTTGCACTTAATCGATTCTTGGACCGTGTTATTTTTTGCCATAGTTTCAGAGTAGTAGATGGCACAGACCCCATGATGTCCTGTAGATGGGGTCCATATTAACCTCAGACATTGGGGGTCTGCGCCATCTACTCTTAATCCACTATATAGATCGTACTGCTTGATAAGAAGACAACTTGAATCTAGTCACATCTAGGAATAATACATATTTGCTGAACAGAAGGACGGAAAAAGGAAAGGAAAGAGTACAGGAAAGATCACCCAACAGGACAGGAGGAAGCCATAAGTTAGACTTGTTAGGTGGTTGAAATCCATCACGTCGTTTTGGTCCCATGATTCACTTGTACTTTCCTTCGGAATCCAAATGATCTGAAAATGACTCCGCCCGGTTCTATACATCCGTCCATCCGGTGCCGTATCTGCGCGAAGAAGGTGTGGTGGGGAGTACTTGCTGATCTCTGAGCGCTTTCGCGGGCAGCCCGTGTGGAAGCAGCGGCGAAGCCATTTCAGGCACCAAAGGTCTCGAAGTGCCGAGTTTTCTCGGGGCCGGAAGGGTTTCTGAACGCCTGTTATGTAGACTCTCGATTAATAAGCCCCCCATATGAAGAGGTTGTTGAACCCATATTGCATCCGAATGCCCCTTTGAATTAGTCACTCAGACTGTTCCAAATTCGTTAATTAACTGAGCAATGATAGATATAGCATGGTCATGTGACATTTCCGACCGCTTGCCACATTTTCGCCTGTGCGCCAGCACCATGCATTTCGCTTTCACTGGTCTAGGTGGACATGGTGACTCAATATACGTTTCACTTTTCTGTCATTCTCACATACTGTATCCACCACTACTCATGGTACAATGTAAAAAGGGGTTGCGTGGACGCGACTCGTCCGCAAGTGCGTGCATCCAAATGGGGTGAGTTTATTAATTAATCGAGAGTCTGCATTACGCAGACACTCCATGTATGGCATATATGCCTGCATTGACCCCTGGAACCACCCCAACTGATCGGCATATATGGCAGTCCCATGGAGCGTTTGGGTTATTTTTTGGTCTCAGGAGGGGAAACCCAACAAACCCAACAAACGCTGTGCAGTCGATCATCCGCACCTGCCAAGTGGATCATCTCGGGCGCTCAGCTTGGGTTTTCCTCGACCTCCCCTTTTCATCAGACCATCCGTGGAGCCTGCCAAGGAAAATGCCAAACCATCCGTGTATGGAGCCATTTGCATTAGGGTCATAAAATCGGGCAATTGGATGATGAACCCACTGACTCACCTTTGTTTGATACCATTGAATCGTTGAAACCACCAACCTCGGCGCACCGGACGTTCCAGTCGAACAGCCCCGTCACGGAGTGTTGGGGCACGGACGGACGAACCCCGCCCCGGCCGATCGGCGCCTGATCGTCCCATGGTACGCTCTGTGACGTCAGGATTTGCACGGGATCTGAGGGTCACTGGATAGTGACCAACGCAGAGCCGAAGGAGGAGACCATGGGACTGACATATTTGACATACATTGGGGGTGATTTCAGGGTCAATGCAGGCATTTTGGAGTGTTTCGGCACTCATCAAGGCCCATCGTGTCAGGCAAGGCGTTCTTTCCAGCTTTCATGATTGATTGTGACGTCCATTATCTACTTGGCAGCCTGTTTGACAACTCTCCTTCTTTTTGTGGTGCGATGTGTACCTTCAGATGATGTATATACCCCTGAAACAAGGGTGCAGTTCAATGCCCAGAAGGGAGATACTTTTCTGCTTGGCATGGAAAAGGCAAAATGCAATGATGATTGATAATTACATTTATACATATATAATTATTTATACTATATACATAACATATATATATATATATATTGTTATTTATGATTCTCATTAAATCTCCATTTTTGTTTGAATTAAGCTGTTAATCATCATGATCATGATTGACAGTTGCATTTTTTGAGCCTTTTTCTGTGACGAATCATTGACCTCCAAGTAGGGACTCCGCGCAGTACCTCATACGTTTTAAGGATGGTCGACCGAATCCTGAAGATCATATGGATGTGGGACATGGCACCTCACCCTACAAACCAATGGAAAGTTGACATCCCGTTATAAAGGAATCTGTTTATTGTCAAAGGTCCCCCGGTTTTGACTCACATACATCTTTTTGTGAGAATGATCGCTGGAATGGGACCCAGGGCTGCTTCGAGACTGGACCCTGGGTAGGGAAGAACAGGGAGTGAAGAAGCAAGCTGTTGGGAACAGACTCAGTCCAGACAGGTCTAACTTGCAGCTTAAAACCCTTAAGATCACTCAGCTGAAGATGAGGGTTGCAAACTGCAAGGAGGATGCAGAACAAGCCGTTCTGAAATGTCCGGATCCCTTCTGTGCCGACAGAGGGTGACAGGGGGATGAAGCAAAGAAACGTTTTAGTATCTCTAGCCCTACATTACATACGCAAAAGTCAACATTCTTGGTTGATCTCAGATTGGTCGGGCAAGCAACAGAGAAGGTATGCATTTGGCCGAAAACCCTTGCACCAGGCCAGGTGAGACAATATCCTCTGGCACCCTTTGCATATAATGCTCAATGCTCCAACTTGTAGGGCGAATAGTGTACGCCCTATAGCTGTTCGAGAAGTGAAGCCACTTGTCAAACTTTCGACCTATTGCCATTGCTCTTCTAGCCCAAACGGCAGTTGTTTCTAAGACTTTCTTTGGCTTTGCGCTGCAAGTTCCGTGGAAGGTTTCGAACAAGCAGACAAGCTGAGCATTCCTGAAAGTGTTGAATTTCACTTGACTTGGGACTTGGTCAATTACCAAGTTTAAATGCCTACGTCTTACCAGTCACAGCCTTTTGCGGCTTTGTTTACTGCAGATGGCCCACAAACTTGACCAGCTCAGCTGCGGAGGGAATGACCTGCTGTGTGGCCTGAAGGAACACAATGGGACCTAGCAAGCTTGCAGGGAGAACCGGAGACACAGTGGAGACATGGAACACCACATGGTCACGTGATGGTTGTCTCATTGTCTCCAAAGTTGCCAAAGTAAACATGCAGTTAAACATGCATGTGTACTTTCTGCACGATACTTTCTTTTGGGGAACCACATGTTGTGGACATTTCCTTGTGTTTGGTGGAGACCGGCTGCGGGCATTGCAAAGGGCCATCTACTGCTTTGGTTTGCAACATTGGGAACGGCGTTTGTCATATGAGCCTCGCGCCCGGACTTCCAGGACATCCGGGAAACACACATTGAGAGAAATGAATGATGAACCATTGAGCGAGGTGAGGAAGTCCATGGTGGTCAGATGCCTGACAAGGCCAGGGGCGGGACATGTTGGATCTCGGATTAGGAGGATTTGGGTCGGGGGGGAAGAGGCTGTCCCAACCCTGAATCGAGCAACCATGAAATTGATGTTTGATTTGATGAACCCTTCACATCCACAGGTGGGGGTTTACTATATAGCACTTCACCAGCCCTAGCTATCGGATGCTATCGGAACTCAAACTCCCATGAAGGAGTCAGGATCCAGGACCATCAACACGCCACTCCGGAAGCCACATTGGAGCAATAAAATATTGGATGCCACCCCCACAGAACCAGGGAACTGGTTCCTTCAGCATGCAAAACGCACAGCTATCCTCAAGCAAGAGAATGATAGAATGTGAATATCTCACCCAGTGCATCCCAGTTACCACTATATAACGAACCAGGGATTCTAGGTCTATGGTGTTAGTCTTGGGAACCGCTGGTTACCAGCTATAGTGGTAACTGGATGCCCTGGGTCAATTGCAGAACTTGGACCTTGAACCCGGCGAAAGACATCTCCTCTTGCGAGACGTCTCCTCTTGGCAGACGTCTCCTCTTGGTCGTCTGGTCCCGCAACCTGAAAGAGCTCGGTGGCTTTTGCTTTGGGAAGAGCTCGGAGGGTCCAGCCACACAGTGGAGCAAATCAAGTACACTCCGACGAACACATGGAAATGGACAAGCACCTGTTTGTAGAGGAAAAGGGGCTTCACAGTTTTCCACTTCCATGTTAGTGAGTCAGAGTGTACCTGTGTGACACGCAAACAAAAAACTGTGACTGATGAACCGGCATGACTTGGTTCTGTTTGTCCCATGACCTGTGACCGTCAGTAAACAATGATCACTATTTTAGAGATGTCGACCTCCAACCTAACCCACTAGAGATGTCAGCCTGCAACCTAACCCATACACATCCGTACACCATTTTAGTGGCAGGCCTGCATCATCCACTTTTACTGGTATATCATGGGTGAGATGCCCAAGGTATGACCATGCACCCATGAACGAGGTGGGTGGACCATGGGCCAAGCGTACCGGGACCAAAGACATTGCATCGGTGATTCATGTTCGGTGTAAGTGAAGACGAAAGAAATATCTGGCCATGACAAGTCCCACATTCCCACATTCATGATAAAGTGATATGGGGCATCCCAACCCACTCTTTGTACTTGATCACTGCTCCCCCTGTCTATTCGGTCATTGCCCCGCGTGGTTCCAACATCTTTCGGCTCAGCGCGGCTCGGTGAAACCCGCCGAACCTTCGGGTGACACACCGGTTGTCATGGGCGAAGCCGCTGAGGGTGCCGAGGGCGAAGCCGCTGAAGGAGCAGATGCTGTGCGCATTCACATGGTCCCCCCGTGCCGGTTGATTGTCCGGGCAACCGCCGGGGCGCGAGTGATTGGCAAGCAAGGTGTCTTGGTGAGGCCGTTGATATGAAGCCGTTTATTTGAGCGCTGAAGACTGTTTTGGAATTTGGGAGCAGCTGCATGATCACAGATGAAAGTAGACGCAGAGATGCAGAATCACTATAGGGAGAAGTAGAGTTACATAGGGTTACACAAACCAGCCAGGTGGCCCCCACCCAGGTGGGCTCTCTTCAATGGTTCAGTGAAGTGAAATCAAGAGCTAAACTTGAGGACCGGCGAAGCAAACCACGTGACCAATGAGAGGGGGAAGTCACCATTTGATGTGAGTCGGCCCAAAAGCTTTTGGTCTCTTGGTGTCATGCACCACAACCACCACAACGCCAACAGCCCCATGCACACTGAAAACGCTCACTATACTGCAACCCCCCTTCTATCTCCCTCTCGGGGTCCTCCACCAACTCCCGTCGCCGGTGTTGGGCTTCTCGGCGCCCCCGTGCAATCAAGGCGCCAGCATCAAGGCGATCCGCGCGCACGCGGGCGCGCACGCGGTGCGGGTCTTGCAGGATGAGCTGCCTGAAGCGCTAAAGCGCCGCCAGGAACGCGATGGGATGGACCAGTGATGGCCGGGGTCGCGGGGTGGGGTGGGTCGGAGAGCAGTGTGGGTCGTCTACAACAAGAAACTCTTAAGAATGGTTGAGGAGAGAAACACCTGAACATCATCTAGGTTCCAGATTGGATGAACAAGACTTGACGGAGATGGAGATAGATGGAGATGCCATTTGTACTGTGCAGATGTCAGAGGACACATCGGGGGACCCCAAAGATGAGACCTGGGAACTTCAAAACCGAAAAGTCGCCTAATTAGGACAATTTGTTAAATCAAATCCTCGATTGAACGTGATTATTCAAAAATTGGAAAAAAACTCTGAACCATGGAAGCGTGTGTCATGTTCTGCTTTTTTTTTTAAAACTCTTCATATTGAAATATGGGATATTATGGGTTCTTTATGGTTCTTCTTTGCTTGTGCACTTTCTATCAGACTGACAACCACAGATTTCTGGCTACGGTGAATGGCACGGTGTGTGCCATGCTCGGACGGCGAACGCTCGGGTCACCGCGGGGAACGGCTCCCCGTGTGGGGCTGACGGGGCTCCCACGCTCTTCGCCGTGGGACGGTGGGTGAGCAGCAGCTGGCGAAGAACCGTTGGGGGGGGAGAACCAGTCGTAGAACCTTACGGAAAAGGGGGTAACCAGAGAGTCTCAGTGTATTCAGGACCCGGGGACGTGAGTTAAAGTTGGTACTCAGAATGGCTTTTCATGGCTTGATTTCTTTTCTTTCAGACAAGCATGAAAGTATGGGGAGAAGATTGCCTCAACCGAGTCAAAGCTTTTCCCACCACTGTCACTTGAATGCTTGAGATCATGTTTCTCAACTCATCCCCAAGAGGTTGAAACTTCTTTCAGGATGTTTAAACTCTTCAACTCCTTCCAGTGCTCAAGTCCTGACCCATCACAGAGATTGTCACCCTTTCTCACCTCTTGATCCAGCATTCCAGCGCTGATTTCTTCGACCATTCGGGCACCCGGGCATCATCTTCCCAAAAATCAGAAACCGCCCCCGGTACTTCCAGCAGTTCATGGCTTCCGCATCCGCCCTCCGGTCGCCAGGAGTGCATCGTGATGATCTCCTGTGGGGAAGAGTCCACCCTACGCCAGGCCGTGTCGATGGTCCTCGACCGGGTCTTCGACCGCTCCGGCTTGCCCGACGCGGCGGACCGGGACCGGGAGCGGCCTCACGTGCTGGACGTGATCGTGCCGGAGCGAGCGGGAGGAGGTGCGGAGATGGACGGAGCATGTGTAGGCCAGGGTGTGTAGCGTTTGTATCTTATTTTTGGGGTCCAGTATCTCGGTATTTTATGTTTATTTCGGTATTTCTTCTCACTTTTGATGATGTAGTCCCGAAAGCCTTATAAAGAACACGTGCAGAGAATAATATACGTATGTGAAGACGGAACCCAGAAGTAATTGCTTAGGAGATGGTTTCCCGCCGTGGGGTTTTAACGTGCCATGTACATCCTCAAAGCTGGAATTTAAACTTCGACACGGACCGATTGGAGCGATGCCACGGAGCCAGCCAGCGGAGTTGGGAAGAAAAACGGAAAAAGCCGGCCAGGCATTGTTGGCCAGGGTGGCGAGCGCATTCGCGCGATCATCGAGGAATTGGGCTGCGAGGTCCAAGTCTCCCGGGAGCCGCTCGCAGGCGGGAACGGAGAGAGCACGGCACAGGGCCCAGCTTGTTTGGGGTGACATGTCACGAGAATAGCTGAGGAATGAAGTGAAGAAACATCATTATGAAGATGCCGTGCCCCACCACTGACTAGCAAGAGTTGAACAGATTGCGCACTTGAACCTTAGCAACTTTAAGAGCAAAAGTATACTTCGGGGGAAGGGGGAAGCTCAATAACAGCAAGGTTGTGCGAAGTGGTGCGCAATTTGCGCCTCATTATGCCGAGTGGCCCCTCTCATCTTCCCGAGCTAGATGTTTCTAAGCCTCGCCATTCAGACAGTTTTGCATCTGTTTTGGGAATGGTATTTGCCTGTATTTGCTATTATTTGCTCATGGCTTGAAGGGAGCAAAGGAGTTGGATGTTGTCCTGGTCCTGACCAGTCATGCTCTGGGGCACCCCAGTCCAGACCGCACAAGCGTGGGCAGGCATTGCAGGGCACAAGCGTGTGAAGCTGCTGGCGCGGGACCGGAATCCGATCGATGCTGGGATTGCAGAACTGGGATGCTCAGAACCTGGCTCCCTACTGGAAGAACTCAGAAACAGCTCGAAAACGGTAGCGATGGCCTCCAACCCAGTAGCGATGGCCTCCAACCTGCTAGCGATGGCCTCCAACCTACTAGCGATTGCCTTACACACATGCCAGGGCCCCTTTTTTGGAGCCCTCCGCGCACGCCCAGACTCGTGATGGCTGCGGCCAGAGGACAAAACATACACATGCCAGGATTTTTGGTTACCCGTTGGATGATAGAGGATGTTACAGGTACATACTCCGTGTTTAAGGGCGGCTGTATATATACATAATTATCTAATTTATATTTGTGGGGTTCGGGTGTTCCTAACAGAACCAGCATTTCCGGCGCGGTTTTGGTCATGGCATGGAGGGAAGGGGTTATGATGGTTTCGGGCCCTCTTCCGCATCCAGACATCCGCTGCAGACTTGGGTCTGTCAAGTTCTCAAGTATACATTGACATGCTTGGGTCGTCGTTGCATGCTACTTTGGGGTGGATCGAACATCTGCGCGGGTCGGATCGAACATCTTCAAACACCATACCGCCATCGGCCGCCAATGTCATGTTCTTGGTGGATCTTGGGGTGGGTGTGGAGCTTGAGCCGACTGTGCCTACAGCCACATACTTGGAAGCTAGTTTTCGTCGCTGCTTGAGGTTTGGAACCTTTTTCCGCTGGTTCCTCTTTCACCTGCCCAACCCTCAGGAAGCGGCCCTTTGGCGCCTCCAATCCACCCTGAAGGAGTTGGTGGGCACAGAGGCGAGGGAGCTCAGCCTGAGGGTTTGGATGAGTTGAGAGCCCTGCAATGGCCCTTTTCGGAGGGTTTGGGCCTGGACCGAGCCAATTCG